AATTATTACTTAATTATTTATTTGATTTGTATATTCGGGTTCTCACATTTCCCATTCCATCTGGGTCAATTTTGTGATTCTTCAATAGCTTTTTTTGATTTGCCACCGTTCTTTCGTGTTGCCATTTGATATATAGCAATCAAATTCAACAAACAAAGGCGCCAGCTCTACGGAAATTTAAATGAAAAAAAACCACCCCGATGGTTTTGAAAAACAGGGGATTGAGAGATTGTTTGAGATGGGTCACCAAATCAAAAGAAGAAAGAAGATTAAAATAAAAATTTGTTGAAAATCCAATTGAGAAAAAGTAGTAAAATTGAATACCCAGATCGTAATTTGATCAAAGATTTAAAAAAACAATACCCAATTTTTCGAACCTAGGTTGGTTTTCAATTGCCAATACTTTCAAACCAAAACAAAACAAAACAAGACACAAGAAACACATCCCAAATACTAGAGAGAGAGAGAGAGAGCAGCTTTGAAAAGGAGCATAAGGTGTTGCTTGTGTCGCTATTTTTGGGTGATCAGTGAATGATGAAGACGTGGAACAAAATCAGAAGCTGAAAAATGAAAGGATTATTTTGTGTGAGATTTGAGAGGTGAGAGGGGTTTATAAAAGTCCTCTCAAGAAAATCAAAAGTCCTTATCATTTTCGTCACTGATATTGTTCCTTGTCCCATTGTGAAAATTTTACATTGGATGGTCGACTGGCTGGTCGTTCGCCCGGTCGACCAGTGGTTTAATGAAAAGTCAAATCCTTCCATTAGAGCAGATGACATCAAAGAGAGTTTTTACTTAAATTTGATGAAAAGAGTAATACACCGTTGGAGATACCCTAATAAGTTGGTATTCGTTGGAGGAGCTTCTCATGATCATCAATGATGATATGGGCATCAAATTCCAATTCAATTCCTTTAAGGTCCAAATCCAATGCTAAGCGCAACCGAAAACCATGCTTCAATGGTATTATTCATGTATACCAAACATTTTCTAAACTTATGTTAATCACTACAAGACTATGAATTGTATCTATGCTAGGGTATGCCCGTGCCTAAAGGCACGGTGAAAATATTGTTGGAATGAAAATGTAATTGAATATAAAAATGTTGGGTTAAAATGTAATTTATTTAATTTGTTGAGAAAAAAAATTTGAGGTGAAAATATAAATAGATGATCCGTATGGTTGTGGTTTTTCAAATGAATTTTATAATTAGATTTTTTAAAAGAGTTTGCCAAACTCAAAATTTTGTTTGGTTGTATATGTTAAAAATTAAAAATAATTTTTACAAATTTAAAGTTCAAAACTTAATTGGTTGTAGAGTTTTCAAAAATAGTTTGTAAAATTTTAATTTGTATTTTATTATTTTTAGTGATATTTTTAATATTTTAATCAATATTTTTCACTTTTCAGATCCACTCAATTTAAATATTTTGCATTATAAAATTTAGAGAGATGGAGAAATTAAAAATAGTGATGACACAATTATTACCTTGGCCAAGAAAATGTAAAAATAGTGATGACACAAATGCAAACAAAGATCATATCACCAAATATTTACTATTATAGTATTTTTGTTTATGTAACCCACTTGCAATTTGTAATAGAAAATAAGCATTTTATTATCCTGGCCAATAATAGTACCCAAATAAATTTCAATATCCACATTTTTTTAGATAGTGAGTTTTGGTTGAAATAAAGAAGCGAGATCTCATAGCTATAGTTTTGCATCAATTTTAATGTAATAGTTAAAATCTACCAATTTTTATGATTTGGTGGTCAGTTTATTATGCAGAAAATTAAATAAATGAAAAATAAATAAATTGTATGCTACTTGGTGAATAAATCAATTTAAACATAAAATTTTCAAATTTATAGATAAACGAAATAGTGAAAAGTAAACACATAAATGCTACGTAAAATTCAAGCATAATAAAAGTATAAGATTTTAAACAAACAACAAAATGTAAGTCCCACAACACAGAAACATCTATATACGCCAGCCAATGTTTTGCAATAGAAAAAAATAAACAACAAATTAAGCACACCAGCCAATGGTCTGCAATACAAAAAAAATGCCAAATAATAATTTAAGCACACCAGCCAGTGCTCTACAATACAAAAAAAAATTCAAATAACAAATTAAGCACACCAACCAATGTTCTGTAATACAAAGAAATGCAACACCCTTCCTGATAAAAAGATATATGGAGGCAAAAATTCAAATTCAACCAAATAAAAATATTATTAGTTTTCTTTAACCTAATTCAAGAGCATATTAGGAAGAAAAAACAAAAAAACAAAAAAGACTATATCACCTAGTGTGTTACATTTACAAAAACAAACTCATAGCATAAGTCAATAATTCAAATGAATATTATCTAACATACATCTAAACTTAGTTATAAATTTCACATAGATAAAAGACTTTACAAAACTATTGTAAGTAATAAATTTCACATCGATCGGAAACTTTACAAAATATGGATCGTAGCTAGCATATGTACGCTTTTTACAAAAATAAATATAAGATTCAAACTTGTTCTTTCTTAGAAATCCTAGGAGCGCCTCATCACTTTCTAAAAAGTCCTTGTATCAACTTGTATGTATCCCTAGTAAGGAGCATGCACGACAATCTACTAATTTATGAAAATAAAAAAAGTTAGTATATTAGTAAAAGAAAATTTATATAAATATATCAAAACACTTTCAAATTGAAATTACCTTGTTACATCCTCATCGAAACAATGTAGTTGTATTTATCTTTTTGAGCTCCATATATTTTTTAACCCAATCCTACAAAAGTCGACACATATAGTAAAATATTTTAAAAATAACAATTTGTAATCAATAGAAACAAATTTATCAATAAGTAAATTGTACCTTTTGACAAAAGTGGTTTGATCCATAAGTAACACTATAACAAAATTTCAGGATAAACAATGTTTGTAATAGAATCTGGCTCATCATTAGGAATGAGGACACTTATACGATCAAAAGATGTGCATCTAGATAGGGCCACATACAATTGCCCATGACTAAACACTGGTGTGCGCAAATCAACTCCAACAAATTTCAAAGATTGCCCTTGAGATTTATTAATGGTCACGGCATATGCCAATCGAACTGAAAATTGACGTCTTGTCATTCGGAGGCATTTCTGAAGAAGACGGTGTCAAGGATATCCTTGGTATGAATACCAAATTGCCAAATTTTTCTCCAGTTAAAATTTGAGCTTCAATTATGCGAGTATTGCATCTAGAAACCATCAATCTTGTGCCATTGCACGGTCCATCTTTTGGTGCAATATTTCTTAACAACATTATAGGACAACCCACTTTCAACTCTAGCTTAAAAGCCGGTAGCCCAGGAAAATCTAATGAATTTAAATATTCATTAGGATATTTATTTATTATAGTACGATCAATTTCATCATCTTCAGACATCTTGTCTGCTGCCAAATAAGTATGTGTGTTACCGGGAAAAATATTCAATGCTGCAGTATTGATGGCACTCACATCATCATTCCGTGTAGAAAGAATTGTACGTTCAGTTAAAAATGTTGCAATCGATGTCATTGCCACATCCAGTTGCGGATAAACCACTGAGATTATGTCTTTTAGATCTTAGCATTTGTGTATTGTTGATGGAAGTTTAACAATTTCTTGAGGATTGGTCCCAATCTATTTATAAAAATAAATAAATAAAATAGTAAGTAAAATCAATTAAAGTACATGAACGTAAATGTATTTCGTTAATTTAAAAGAACCATATAATAGAGAAAAAGTTTGAAGAAATATTACCTCCATCAAGAATTTTGCAAAATTAACATTTCCAAGATTGCATGATTCAAGCGTATGTTCAAATTTAAAGACAGAACATGTATATCCTTCCATAGAAAAGAGTGTCTTAATAATGCATTCACAATTTGCGCATGGACTCCTTTAGTTATAACAGGTAAGATTTGTCGAAAATCTCCACCAAAAACAACAGTGATACCCCCAAATGGCTTTTCACTATCACAAGTGTCCCGAAGTGTGCGATCAACTGCCTCAACACAATGTCTATGCTGCATAGGAACTTCATCCCAGATTATAAGTTTTGTTTCTCTAAACAATTCTGCTTGTAATGATTGCTTGCTAAATCCACAAATTGAATTTTCCAATACATCCAACGGAATGGAAAATGTTGAATGAGCAGTACGACCTCCTACCAATAATAATGATGCAATTCCAGATGAAGCCACAGTAATTACAATATGACCAACGCTGTGACACTTCAATGCAATCGCATTGTACAAAAACGTTTTTCCTGTTCCGGCACCTCCATTCAAAAAGAAAATAGTTCCCTTATTTTCAAAGACTGAGGAAGTGATTGCATCATAAGCTGTTCGTTGATCATTGTTGAGGCGATCAATAATAATTTCTACATCTGCCTGTTGTGCCTCATTTTGCAGTTGTTGATGTTCAAATATCAACCTGTTACCACCTACTGCACTCCAATTTGTAGAAGGTTGTGGCATTGGCGGGAAGCCAATTAAACTTTTTCCTGATTCTTGGAGCATTTGATTCAAAAGATATAGACCATAGTCTTCAATTTGAGCCTCAGTTGGTTCAGAAATGGCAAACAACGTTCGAATCTTATGTGCAAGATCATCACATATATGCATTGAAAATTGATTCCATAACACATATGGTTGCAGTGGAGAGCACTGAGTAAGAATAATAGTAAACAATCTCCTTAATTGATAACCAACTTTCATAACTGCAGGCTCTTTAAGGCATTGTATCCATTCTTCATCATCTTCTAAAAGTCCTCTTGCAACACATGCTGATTTAAACGTATCATGCAAAACATTGTTGACCGTACGTAAGCACTGAAACGATTTTGGTCCTTTGACAACAGTTAATAGCAAACGTAAATAAAATCTCTCACCATAATTAGGGCTAGCAAAGTACATTCTACCGATTGCATAGCCCTACTGCCTTGGTTTTCATCTCTTTTATGAATTAAGCCAAACAAAATGTTGTGGAAATTCTTGGTAAGCGAATGGACATTCATCTTCCATAGAAGCGCAACATGCAAAAAAACCAGTAAGAGTTGACATTTGTTGGCCAGCTCTAGAAACAATTGCTTCTAATGATTCATCAGGATTAAAAAGAACACGGTGCATTCTAGGTAAATGAAGTGCTAAGCGTACAACTGTTGGTATCTCAGCATGCAATGGATGACCAAATATTCGCCAAGCAGCGTCTGGAGGTCCAATATACCTCGCATCGAGATATTGTTGCATCTCATTTATCAATCCCAACACCATCGTTGTGCAATCATAACCCTTGTAAATGTACTTGTGTATATACTTGACACATCTCATTCCGGCACAAACTTCTACGTTTATGTGACAGTTGAAACGTTTAGAAAGATATGCATTGCATGGTACAATGTCTCTATTATCAACTTTTTTCCCCCTCACAATATGAACTTGACCATTATTGTGACGACGATAGATAGGATATCCATCTTGATCCATAGTAGTTGTTTCTGTGAACGCTCGAGGGTATCTCTTAGTGCATTTACCATTTTCCATACATGGTGCTTGTGAATTTCGAGCACCACATGGTCCATGTACCATACAACACTTGATAGTTTCAAAAAGCATAGGTTCATCTTTTGGATCTAGAAATTCTGCACAAACCAATTTGTCTACTTGAGCACATGTCCGAATTTTGTCTGGACCCTGAAATAGAAGTGCATGTATATGAGGAAGGCCTCGTTTTTGGAATTCAATTGTAAAAACATGCGCAACTTTATTACCAAACACTCGGTTTGTTTCTATCTCCTTCATCAAGTACTTTCTCTTTAACTCAAAAACACGGGCAATTAAATCAGGACGATCAATAGGCTTTTGGTGCTGTAATAATGCTGAAGTAATTTCTAGCCAATTAGGATTTGCAGTTATGGTGAGAAAAATGTCTGGATGTTGGTTGTATCGTGTGATAGCCATTGAGTCTTGAAAGATTTCAAACATGTGTCTAGGACCTCAAGGAAATAAAGATGGCAAAACAAACCTTTGACCAATTTGATTGGGCTGAAGATCATTTGGATCAATATCTGTCAAATCTTGGTAAAGTTCATCACAGATTTTCCCTTGATTAAGCTTGTAGTAAGTTAACCTATTTTGTTCAGTTGCGGCCGAAGCATCAACCAAAAACTCTTGGAACAATTTTCCAGCTCTCAAAATTGTTAAATACTCTATGGGTCGTTCAAATAAACTATAACTATAAAAATCCATTTGAGTAAGCCGATCAGTTGAAGGCCGATCATGTTGAACATCCCACAGTTTTATCTCAGGTTCCCATCCAAGCTCACCATGTGGAAATAATACAACATAATGTAATGGCAAATATGCTGGGTGACATTCAATGATTTGCATTAGCTCATTATTTCCTTGTAGATGTAAGATCTCTCATTCCACTAACCTTGGTTCCATCACCTGGTATTACAACTGCAATCTCATCTGTAGTTGGTAGGTTATACCATCGTCGATCTGTCGATGAACTGTAGTGGAGATGAACAGGCAAATTTCATCCTGTCAAGGTTAATTGATTTAAAATTACATGAGCCTGGCGAAATTTAGCAACGAATGCATTAACCTATAATAAACTATCTTGAATAGTTTTTAGAACATCTCTTCTTAATTGAGGATTTCTACGATTGCGAACTTCTAAAGCTGAATCAGGGTCATAAATGTACAATTGTGCATAAGCTGCATCTTGCCCTGATTGTGGTAGTAGTGATCCTGTTCGATGTCGCAATTCCCCATGGATAGTGAATGATGTAGGGCCTCTTCCAGTAAGTACTCTTGGATCTAATGTAGCACCAAGACTTGTAAAAGCATTTGTTGCATTGTACACTCGAGTATAACATCGAAATGATTTTGATTTATCATCATTCCCATCATATAATGCTTGAAGAAGTGAAGGGGGTGTAATAAGTGGAGGAAGCTTAACCTTCCCTTTTGAACAACATGTTCCGAATAGAGGACGGTTTGGAGATGATTTTACTAATTTTTCATCCATCCAATGTAATGCTGAACAGAAAGGACATAATACATCCATCTTGCCAAGAGAATGACGACATGAATTTATATGTGCTCGAATAATAACCATTGGACTCATATGCATATCCTCTAATTTCTCATTAGTACATAGATCCTCTTGAAGGGAAGGAGTTGTAAGAGTAGGCCTACAAATATTGGTTTTGTGTAAATTAAAATAGAATGGTAATAGTAGGAGTATGTGTTTGAAGAATTAAACACAGTCTTTTACCAATTTGTTTGTGGAGCTAAAGATGTGCTTGGCATTGAGAACGAACATGTGGAAGGATGTGCAACCATTGTTCGTTTTTGCGCAGACTGAGTATCCTCAGTTGCCTTTGTTCCTAGTTCTAAGCAAGTACGACTACGACGACACGATATTAAAGAAGTTTGTCTCGGTTGAATACATTCTCTTGATTTCTCCCGTTCTCGCCGTGCACGTTGGGCTAATGTAGCTTTTGATATAACATTGTTATTGTGTGCCTAAAATGTGAACATTATATCATTGATACCTAAAATACAAATATTATCGCATACTATTTTATTTTTTGATTCAATAATTTTGTTATTTTAATTATATTTTACTTTTTCTTCCTGCCTTGTGATAATTTTAAGAATATTTTTACATTTTCTTTGTCCTACTTCCTTTTCCATTTTGCTTCATTTTCCCTCTTCATGCCTTGTGATATAACAACTTGTTTTTTAATTATTGTTTTCTCTTTCTTCTTGCCTCATGATAATGTTAAGAAAATTAAATATATTTTCTATGCCTATGTTTCTCTGTTCCTTTACTTAGATGTTATAAAGTTTTTCTTGGAGTTTATAAAGGTTACAATTATTTTTAGGAAATGTTAAAGAGAGCTAAATATACTTTGTTTGAGTGTACAGAAAATAAAGAGCACACAAAAAAAAATTGACAACACAGTTTAAAATTTTAAAAACTTACATGATCAATGTTCACTTTAACAATATGATTGGCTTTGTTTTACTCGATAAATATTTTTTTAAAAATGTTGAATATATACCATTGGACATGCGTTTCCCTTTCCTTTGTCAAAAGAAGTTGCCTTTTCTTTTCCTTTAGACATTGCCTTGGCCTTTTCCTTTTCCTTTGCCTACCAAAAATTAAAAAAAAAAATTAATTAGAATACGAAAAAAGAACATGTATTTATAGAATTTATTAAGATTACGAAAAAAGAATATGTTGAAGTTGATTTTTCTACTTACCTTAGAATTGCTAATAATATTAAGATTGCACTCATCGCAAATAACAACACCGATATTCCTAGTCTCATGGAGGAATGGGCTTGCATGAGTAGGCCTACAAATATTTGTTGTGTACAAAATAAAATTTATAAAATAAAATCTTAACAATAAGCATATGCATTTGTAGAATTAAATACAATGTTTTACCAATTCCTTTGTAAAGCTAAAGATGTGCTTGGCAAAGTAAGATGTGTAAACATTACTCCTTTCTGAGCCGGTGGAGTATTAGTTGTGCTTGGTAGAATCAATTCTCTCGATCTCTCTCGTTCACGTCACGAACATTGTCCCAATTGATATGAAGAGCTTGCCTTATCATTTCTTTCGCGTTCTGTCCGTGCACGTTGAGTCAATACAGCTTTCGATATAATATTATTGTTATGTGCCTAAAACATGAAGATTAATTTCATAAGATGCCTAAAATATGAATATTATCATCTACTTTTCTCTTCATTTTTCATTTCTATTAATTTAGTTTATCTTAATTCTCTTTCCTTCTGATATTTTGTAAAAAAATTGAAAACTTTTTAATTTTGTATCCTTCCCCTCCTTCATTCCTTTTTTGTTCTATTCATTTTTTCTTCTCTTGTAGATGTTCATGTCAATAGCAAAAAGCCAAAAAAGAATAATAATAATTTAAAACAAATATAATGCTTTTGTACAAATGCTATTTCAGCATGCTTCAAAAAAAATATTTCACAAATTTACATAAAACTGTTTACTATAAAAACAGTATAGGTCACTGTGCAAGTAATATGCCAATTTTACATTTAAAAATAAATAAATAAATAAATAATCGAGGTTCATGGTCCAAAAATAAATATTTCAAAAAAAGAACTTTAAATGGAAATGTTGAAGAGCCATACTACTGAACATGCATTTTTCTTTCTCTTGCCCGAAAAGGTGGTCTTTTCGTTTTTCTTCAACAATGCCTTGGCAATTTCCTTTTCCTTTGCCTACAAAAAATAAAAAAATATATGTAGAAAGTTTTTAAAAAATATATAAATAAGAATATACGGTGTATACGGTGTTTTGAAACAAAAAAATCTATATAATTAAATTGGGCCTACCTCTCGAACACGGATGACATTAAGGTCACGTTCATCACGGATAACAACATTAACATTTCTTTCTTGAAGAAATTGGACCTAAAAATACAAAAGAATTAGAGGTAAAAAACAATAAAAAAAATTATACATGTAAGAAAATGAGTAAAATGAGTCAATATTACAGTTCGACGTAAGTCTCCATCCATCTATAAATTTAAGAAAAGAGCATTTTGTTATAAGGAATTAGATTAAAAAAAATAATGAAAATAAAAGAAAATTGACTTTTGCTTATAAGAAAAATGTTTTTTTTAATGAAAATAAAAGAAAATTGACTTTTGCTTATAAGAAAAATGTTTTTTTTTTCAAATAAATAAAAAAGAAAACAACTTATGTAACCAAAAATAGTAATGTTGTCCATAATTAGTAGTTGAAGGTCAATAGTGTCTCAACCTAAAAGTGCCTGGTTATATAAATTTGACAAAGATAACTTTATGAAGGTAAAATGAGGTTTAATAATTGCCATAAAGAGAAATTAATCACTACAAAATTAACAACCTCCTAACATATTTTAGTTAACAACCTAGTTTAAGAAGTTAAATTGTGCATGAATATCACAGATGGAGAAATTGAACAACTACAGGATAGAAGAAAAATTATAATTTTTTTATATCTTCAATATGCATTAAAAAGGATAGAAGAAAAATTAAATACTCTCATAGAAATCTTCATAATTTTTCTCTATTGACCAAAATGTAGAACTATTGCAATACATGATTTTGTAGTTGATTCTATATAGTAACTTTGCATTGACAAAGGTTAATTCTTATGGATTGTATTGCCCATTTTTCCTACTAACAACTAAGTAAATTATAAAAAAATATAAATTATGCTAATGAATAAAATTTTAGCAAAACTTAATTACAGAAATTTAATTACTAAATTTGCATTTTAAAATGTGAAAACAAAATAAGTAAAAAAACTACAATAAAAATTTATAAAAGGGCTCTCTACACTGTAACTGAAAAATTACAAATACCTTTTGTATTATCTATATAATTACAAATATCTTTTTCAATACACATCACAAAAAATTATATTACACGGTAGCTTATTTACTCCAATGAGTAATACTCTCATAAAAATCATTAAAAAATTATTATAACAAAATTTTAAAATAAGTTTAAGTTTTTTCAAAAGTCCTGATAAACAGCTAAAAAATATTTTTTTTTTGTTTGACAAATTCCAAAAACAAAATTGAAAAAGCTAAATAAACTGGACTCTTTTTAAAGAGAGAGAAGCCTAAACATTTTAAAATAGCAATTCAATAAAAAACCAAACTAAAAACAGTTCCTTAAAAGGAAAAAAAATAAGGGTCATCAAATTAAGAGAGTTAACTTTTTAATGTTCTCTTTTCCTTTCAATCAACAAATTGTTTTTAAATCCTAAATCCAAATACAGCCTAAGAGAGATGATGAAAAAAAAAAGAAAAAAAAAAGACCTATCATATTACAAAATTAAACTGTAACAAAATGTTTGTAAAAAAAAAAAAGAACTTGTAACTGTACGAAGAGGACTGGTTGATAATTAAATATGAAC